TTTACATCAAATTTTATTAATATTTATATGAAAGACTGAATCTAGATTTAAATTTTATCTTGGATACTTTGCTTGGAAATTAGGTTTCAAAAAGGAAAATTTTAAAGCTAGGAAAATAATCTGGCATTTTAAAGTGAGTATAAAACTCTTACAAAATCACTTAAGTGCAAAGGGGACCATTTCAATGTGATTTGGAAAAGAATGAACAAAAATTAAAATATTTCTTGAATTGTCCTTTTAATAATTCTGAGTAGATGTGAGATCATTTCATAGTCATTATATTACAGCAGAAGTCTCTGTAGAAATACAGTAAAGTTTTAAATTTATTCCCACAGTTCTCATTAAGTAATTATTTAACTAATAAATAGAAAGTGAAACCAATGCATAAATGTATTGCAATCCACACAATAAACATAATGGTATCAAAGGGACCAATTTAGGAACTTTAGGTGTTATAAAGTATTAAGATGACATTAGCAATTTCCCTGGGTGCCTAATTCCAGGATTGTGTCCTCTCTATCTATAGTGTGCCATAGAGTTTAGGATCAGGTTTTCTATTAATTATGTTTGGCTTTTCATTCATTCAACAAATATTTATTAAATCCTATTATTTTGCAGATGCTATGTCAAACACTAGAGATAAAAAATCAGAAGAGGAGAATAAGGGTCCCAGATCTCTGATACTGACAATTTTTAGTCAAGTATAACAGTGGTCCATATGAGATTTCGTCCTGTTTTCTAGGAATTGCAGCAAAGACTCAAAATTATACACAAAACATGCAAAGTTCCTGCATTCTAAGCTCAGAGATCACTAGCAGTCAGGATGAGACATTTATCTTCAAGGCCTAATAAGAGGCAAGAATCCAAGAATCTTCTCTTCCATACCCAATGCTCATCATCTCCAACAGTCAAAGAGCATAGAAGACTGATGATAGGAAAGTGAACTGCCTTTTCAGAAACAATGTCCAAGATGAAAGTCTATTTTCTTCCTTTCTCAACACAGGTCTATGGGAATGCTTCTCCTTCCAAAATCCACTGGAAATGGAGAGCTTTATGAGAATCACTTACCCAATAGTAGGATTTCTACCACAAAAGGAGAAAAGCATTTTGTCCCCCAGTTGTACACTGGGTAATCAGCAGACTCACTAATCTGCCCCTGGGTCACCATGAGCTGGGGGAAGAGAAAGAAGATGAGGCTAAAAGAGAGAGATGCAGTGAAACTGCACCTACTGTTAGGGTTAAGGCAAGTGAAGATTCCAGAAGGTAGTTGGGTTTGAGCTATCTTGAAAGAAGTTCTCCCAAGGGAACCTCAGCAGTTGTGGGACAAGTCAGGGGCTAGGGGTGCAGGGAGTGGAAAACACCAAGTCAGAGCTGGATCTCCCATACCTGGGAATTAGCATGAAATCTGAACAGGGACCTCCTGTGTACCATGACAGAAATGACCAATGTGAGCCAGATACCTCTCATCAGTTCACAAGTAACTGTTCTTACTCCTAGTTTGTTAAGAGGAGGTTTGCCTTTCTCCTCTCCTTCCTCTCCACCAGAACCTAACAGAGAAGCTAGCTTCTAGAAAGAGGCAGATGGGGAAACTGCTCCAAACTGCTGAAGACACAGATGGTCCTAGCTATGCTTTGAGGAGAAGAGAAAGCTTTGAATAGAGTTTAAAACAGAAGTCTTAAAATATACAAGACTGAATGTTGAATTTTGAAATGAGACTGTTCTAATAACTGAAAAGCACCTGGACTATTAAAAAGTCTATTCACAATTCCATTATGCAAAGTGAAAGGGCTTGCTCTCCCCAGCCTTTGGCCCAAGTCTTGAGCAAAGCTATCAGCAACAAAAACAGGTTTAAGCAGACGTTTTGTTGAAAGCCTGAATCCCCGACAAGATATCTGAACTGAAGGTACAGAGTTGGAACCTCTCAGCACTTTAAAACAATAGCACCAATAAATAATACTAACAAAAATATATTATTAACAATAACAACATTTATTGCCTTCTTACTACCTGCCAGGCACCATACTGAAAGTTCTACATGAGCTATATAATTTAATCCTTAGGACATCCTAATGTATCTAAGGTACATTTTTGTGCCTATTTTATATAGAAGAAAAATGAAAATTTAGGGGATTTATGGAACTTGCCCCAGTTCCCCAACTGGTAACAACAGAACAGGTATCTAAAGAAAAATAATTCTGACTCCAGCGTCCACTTGCTTAAATGAATTTATTAAACTGCCTTCTAAACATTTTTAACAGTGTGAAAGTAGATGTTATCATTTAGAGACATATGACATAAGAAGGAAAGAGAACTCCGAAATCCTTTAAAAAGCTAGAAAAATGAATAAAAATAAGAGGTTAATTTAGATATTCTGTAAAATGAGGACAGTGAGATAATTACAGAAATATGG